AATCCATTGGTTTTTCAAAGTATGACATTTTTTATTTTTTCCTGTGCTGTATCAGATGTGTAGTAAGGAGTGTGAAGTCATCATTATGACTGTTTGCTAGTAATGGTATAATTGCATCAATCTGAAGCATGGAACTTCAAGTAAAGTGCCTTCATGGTTTTTGTTATTTTTCAATAATATATAGACAGTAAGAGACCATTTGGTTCTTTAAGTCTGTCGCTGTACACTCACACTTGAAAAATTTAAATCCACCCTTTACTTTTTCAAAATCTTTGATTCTTCTCTCAAGCTCTTGTAAGGTGCTGACCATCACAACTGCTGATTGCAACCCATGACATAAGGCAATAACTCTGTTAGAAAAATAAAAGTCTTAACTGGAGCCTAGGTTTCCTTTTCTAACTCTTAAACTTATGTCCTCTCATCATATTATCTTTAGAATACAGCACAAAGACATCAGAGGATTTTATCGTATCACTCTTACCTTATCCATAAGATAATCTCTTACCTTTCTTTACTCAAGAGAATATAAGAGATCTTATTCTATCCATTTAATATAACTTTTTCCATCCCTAGAATAATACTAGCAGCCTTTCTCTGAATCTTTTTCAATAATTCAATATTGTTTGTCAGATAAAGAGACCAAAACAGTACACTGTATTCCAGGTGAGGTCTGACTAGTGATTTGCATCAAGAGATAATTACTTCTTTTGACTTGTAGTCAGTATGTATATAAATTCATTTTAAAATGTATAAGTTATACTACTATAAGTAATGGAGCAAAATAACTTAGTCTATTGAAACGTAACATTTTGGGCTATTGCCATTTTTCAGACCTAAATACATACTATTAAAGATTTGAAAGAGGCACTGCAAATTGCACAAGGAGCACCATATGATTTTAACTATACTATATGGGTCGGTGACATTGTACAATAATATGAATAATAAAGAGAACATAATAACACTGTGTTGTTAAAAAAACTTTTCTTTTGAACTATATAAAAGTCTGATATAGTAGATAAGATTAGAAATAATGTAATAAATCCTCTGACCCCATATGAAGATATAATTAATGGAAGTGTTCATTTAATTTATGTAGGTGGAGAGCCTCAAGTTGATGAATAGTCTATTTTTGAGTCATTTCTTTGTACAGTATGGTGCATATTTGAGTCCCACTATAGAGAATTCATCAATTTTATGTTCCCAGCTACTAAAGTGACTTCCAGAGGAATGGTCTTTATCCAGTCTTCTAATGTGACTATTTCTTACTTTCAACTTTGAGTGACTTATTCATCACTACGCCAAGATCGTTTTTTTTTCATCACACTATTGACTTTCTTCCCATTTGTATTAAATGTGTGATCCAAATTATGATAATCCAAATGCATTAGCTGGCACTTTCTGTAATTAAAAGTCATTTGACAAATATTTGTCCAACTTAGCAGTTGATCCTAGTACAGTCATTCAGCAGCCTTTACTAATTATGAATTTATCAATATCATTAATGTAAATATGGAAAAATCAAAGGCCCAAGAACTGATCCCTGAGGCACTCAAATAATAACAGTGATCCAGTTGTATTGGACTCCATTAATAATCTTTTACTTTCTCCCATCCAACTATCCTACAGTCTAATTAACTAGTCTCCAGCCCTTAACAATGCAAGTTTTTAGCTAGTATTTGGTGTGGTACCATGTCAAATGTATTTTGAAAATCAAAGTACACAAAGTCCACGCCCTTTTCATTGTTTGGATAACAAGTAACATCTTTGAAAAAAAAAAGATAACAGATTAGTAAGGCAAAATTCCACTTTGGTGAATCCATATCAGCTTTCTTTTAGGATATCATATTTCACAAATGATTTTGTAAGGTTTGTTTTGTTGTTTTATCACTCTAGAATCCATACTACTACAGAACAAAGAATAACTGGTTTATATTTCCCAGAACAACTGTCTTCACCCCCTCAAAAAAATGGAGTAAATTAACAACTCTCCTACCTTAAGGCACCTGCCATCTGTCTGTTGACCAACTAAAAATGATTTAAGTCAATTCTATAATTTTCAATAGAATACTGAGGCTCAAGAATATTACTGATATATTTTATTGTAAAAACAGAAGATAACATTTAAAAGCTCAGTCATCCCATAGTCTTCAACAAAAACCTTCCCAATAGCAACTTTTTTAGGACCCAATCTTTTTTTTAACAATTTCTATAGCTTTAGCTAAGTACATAGCTTGTTCTGAACAGAAGTTAATATTAATTAACTACTAAGAAATAATTCACTTACTGTTTTCTTAAACACTATCAGCCAGAATTTTGTTAAGTCCTTTTAGACTTCCCATCAATTTAAATGTCTGAATTTATGGCATTTATCCCTGATTTTCTTCTTTATGTCTTTAGTAAGTCAATTAGGTTTGATATACCCAGTTGTACCTTTCCTCTTTTAAGGAACACTCCTATCTTGAATTAAAAGCGATTTATTTTTAAGCATTTTCTAAATTTGTTCCTCCACCCTTTTAGCTCATTGTCCCAATTAATTAATGATAAATTTTGTCTCATAGTCCCAAAATTAGCTTTATGAAAATTCAAAACTAAAACTTCTCTGTTTTCATATCAAAATGTAGCAAAACATCAAAATGATCACTCTTTCCCCAGATATTTCCCCACTTGCACTCTTGCAGCCATGTCTTCATTAGTGGTTAACATTAAATTTGAAATGGCATCTCTGCTGGTTTGTTCTCTGACCATTTGGTGTAGAAAAACATCCTGAATCATTTCAAGACATCTGCCCAGCATTTGACTCGATACAATCCCAGTCAATGTCTAAAATTAAAGTACCCCATTATTGTTGCAAGTTTCCTTCTTAATATCAACCGTGACTTCATTATACTATTTCTTATTAACCTTATCTTTTGGATTAAATGGCATTGAAATGCTTGTTTGTAACCCATATAAATTCAACCTCATAACTACCAAAAAACTAGCATTATTAACTAACTTATAACCTGAAATTTCAAAATAATTCCTATTATCAGTGTTCTTCAAATCTGGCCAAGAGAATCTCTCTCTATCTAAATTTCTTGATAATCTCATAAACCACTGCAAGCAGCAAACAGGTTCAAATCTATTAGACTGGTAACAGAATGCTAATTGAACCTGACTCTGTATTTTTAACTTTTTTTACTACTGTCCACTCTTGTAAACACAGCACCTTTGTTCTCAACCTCCTCCTCCAATCAGCCTTTACCCTAACTATTCATTTTCTATCTTATTTCCTTGTTCTGTGCTCTTCGCCTGCTTTTTGTCTCCTAATAATACAATCTATCCCAAAACTATCTCTAACTTATCCTAAAGTAAAGAAGCTCTGCAAGTGAGTTTTATTTGCAAATTTTTTTTGAGTTGGAGAAAATCACAATAACCGAGATTATAATTATGAGAATTCTTATCAATTAAATTATTCACATTAGTATTCACAGTTACAAAATATTTTTTTATATTTTTTGAGTGTCTCTTGAATACATCTAAGTAATACAATTACTGAAGGCAAGAGAGCATATCTTCTGATAACAGCTTTCTCACAGTTTTTTGTTACATGCTGGAGGGGGAGCGATGGTATTGCAATCGGATCCATGTGTGTGTGGCTGTCTGTGTTTTCACATGCATATTTGAAAACTAATAGACAAATGTAAACGAATATTTTACACAAGATGAGAAATCAGTATGGGACAGTCCTCCCCAAATTTGGTTCAGATCTGGTTTCTGGATCACTTTGAAGCATTTTTTATAATGGGAAGATACAGAATTTTTGTGATTTGGGGTTAATAATCCTGTTGTGTTATTAGATTAGTGCCAAATTTCATGGACACATTAAGGTTTAGACTCCTCATAATACTACAAAAAATGATCCAGATCATTGATCATTCTTGATTTGAGAAAGATTTTCTGAGTTTTTTAAGGTGAGATTTGACATTATCCAATCAATATAAATGCATGCAATCTGTGAAAGGACCAGTGGGGCGAGGGAATGCAATCTCTTGTTGAGGTTGTAAAACTTTTAATCTAAGGGTAAGCATATTCAAGGTTTTTTTTAACTTTAATGTAATATATTACTGTATTTGTTTTACAGTAGCTTACATTAGCCATCTCTTATAAGACACCTGTTCAAGTATTTTTTGCTACAAAGCTCACATACATTTTTCTTTCACATATTTTTGTTAATTTACTATGACTTTGACCCCATTTTTTGTTTAATTTTTTTTTTATTTTGATAATTTCTTAACATTTGGTTTTAAATTTCAAACTAAATAATTTAGCTTCTCTGTTTATATTTGCTTCAGCATGAAGGATGGCAGGAATATTATTTAATAAACTATTCCTAGTTATCTCATGTATATGTGTGTGTGTTTAAAAATATGTATCCATAGAAAAATTACTGCAAAAATGATTCACGTGTTTATCTTAAGGACCAATTAGTTGAACCCTTACTTACAAACGTAAATGATATTTGAGTCATGACTTCATGGGCATCACAAGTACCACTGTATTTCACAAGCTTGAGTGTGTTTACAGTATTTAACAGTATATTATACAGTAAAATTAATTGAAGTAGTGTGGTGTGAGATATGTTTTTATTGCTATCAATAAATCTGAAAGTAAATTTATATTTTGTTGTGCATCATAATACTTTAGGTTATACATGTGTATAGTGTCTTTGGAAATGCCATGAAAATGATTAAATAATCCTGAAGTGTATTAATAATTCTATGAATATGGAAGGTTATTCTTAAAACTTGTTGATATTTTGACCGTTGTACAAACACTAGGTGAAAGTATTATTTATGAATAAAAATGTTAAATTTGAAAAATTTAGCTTGAAGTCAAGCTGTACACATTGCTTTATGTTTACATTCAACAGACAATTTTCATAATATATATAAGAATATTTTGTTTTTATAGACTATTACATGTAGCAGTATTCACTCTCTTTTCTCTTTGTTTAGGATGTTTGAACCTTTTCTCAGTGAGTATGACCAAAATTTGGAGGTGCTACAAAATGAAATCAAACAGTACAAGGTTAGTGTGTATCAATATAATCTATTAATTTTTGAGGCTTGATACTTGCAATAAAATAAAGATGTATTTTTGCAATAGCCTGTCATAAGCTCGCAAGTAAAGTCAACAACTTATTTTTTTATGTCTTCACATCCATACCATTCAAAAAAGTCCTTGAAGCCATGCCTTCTCACTGCTCTTCATTTATCTATTATTAATACATGTATTTCTTCAATGTATGGATATGTAAAACTGCATTGCAGGTTTCCTCAGCAAACAGAAGTGACATTTATCCAATTACTAAGACACAGAGTATAGCTTGCAATCCCGAAAGAATACATTTTTGCCACCACTGATTTCTAAAGGGCTGAGAAGTTACTCATAATTGCATACAAACACATTGAAATATTTTATTGTGTTTAAATTCGATGACGAGGAACCCACTTTGAGACTAATAATGGCTGGAGACGGCTTGAATGGGTAATGAAGA